CCTTGAATGCTCAGACTTTGAGGCTCTTGATGAAGAGCTCAAACTTGGCAATATTAGCAAACGACATCACAAGAAGTTAAAAAGGATGGTTGCTCAAAAGGTTGGCTTCTTAAGCGTTGCTAATTCCATGGCCTTCGCTACTAAGAAAGAAAAGCCACATCCTACTATGGAGGAGTTACTCAAGCGCTTCCCAAACCCGAAGTGCAAAAAGTCTCACTGGCCCCCAAAACAAGATCTGGAGCAGCAATGGAAAGATATGAGGGAAGAAAGCTCCTCTTCCCATGAAACGTGCCACGTGGTGTTCATCATCGTGGGTAGCATGACAGCGGAGGTTGGCCAACTTGAGTTAAAATCGAGAAAGAGACTTCGGCCCAGGTCCACCACTAGTTCCATACCTAAATCCACCAACCATCCCGTACAAACACCAACTTCTCCTAAAATACCCGGGACCAGCATTGGTCCCTTACCCAAATCGATGACCCTCTTTCTTCAACCTACATCTTTGCCCTATCCAACCAATACCTACCCCAGCTGTGTAGCCTAGCAAACGCTCTCCTCTTACTCCCATAACTGCAGCCAATCCTTCTCCCATAATTGCAACCAGTCCTCCCCCACCAAGACTTGCTCCACTACCCCATGTGCCTCCAAAACCAATGGTGCACCAAGGAGCTGCCTATCTCGAGGATGACAAAGTCAAATATAACATGATTGGGCATTTAAAAAGGCTTCCAGTCTTGTTGAGGGTCTATGATGCTCTCATGTTGTCAAATTACTTCTACATGGCCTTAGTACAAGCCCTTTCCCGGCCTGAAGTGTATGAGACCGAGATTGAACGAGTCGAGGTAGATCCCTCAATTCTCAATAATTGCATGGTCATCACCTTTTCAGATGACAATCTCCAGTTGGGGGAAAATTTTTTTAACCGACCTCTATTTGTGACCGGTGAGCTACATGCTCATCCAATTAACCAGATCATTCTTGATGGGGGATCCGCAGTAAATCTAATCCCAAAGAGAATCCACACTCGCATAGTTAGGGGTTGAGCAACTTGAGCCTACGAACCTCACAGTTCAAGGATTTAATCAGTTGAGGGAGAAACCGGGCGGCACTATCCATCTCTGTCTCAAAATTGGTGACTTGAATGCTCATGCCTAATTCCATGTCCTTGAGACCGATACCTCCTACAATATACTGCTCGGCTATCCTTGGCTTCATGATCATGGGGTGGTTCCATCCACATTGTTGAGTCGCACTATGCTAATACAAAGTACTATTTCACAAATCCAGTACAGCCTCAAGAGAAAGTGTTGCCTATGGAAGCCATGACAAGTTATGCCATGAGAGGGACTGCTAATACCTCTCGTGGGAACATTGAGGACACGGCGAGGTCACTTATAGCTATGTTTCAAGAAGAGAAGAGATGTAGAAAATTGAACTCCTTGACTCCCATTGATGCAAATCTCGCACCTTCTTCTTCATCATCTTTCTCTTCTCAAACCCTTTTCTTCTCAAAATCTCGCTCCTTCTTCTTCTCCATCTCTTCTTCTTTCGAGCAACCCCTACCTCCATTCCGGTATGACCTTCAAGACCCTTCTTCGAGGACAAGCCATGGTCGTTAACCCATCATCTAGTCATTCATTCATGTGTGTTTATCAAGGTGCAGCGTGAAGCAAGGGAACCAGAGCTGGACTGAGCTATGAGGCAGGGGAGCTTTCCGTTTCGTGATCTAAGAGGGCAGCTCACACACTCGAGAGTTTCATGGACCCAACTCTGCAAGGTAGGTCCCTCCTCGCACCCTTTAAACTTTTCTCTTTGCTTATTCAGGCCGCACGAGCATGCACGCAAGCCAGTGTGCGCACCGCAGTATCTGAGAAAGTAATCTCAGGCCATGTCCCACACCGGGTCCCCAAGAGCGACGAGATCATAGTAAGAATAGAGTAGGCTTGAGCTAGGACAAATCCACTGTGTTCAGGAATGGACAGAACTTCAAATCTTCGTCAGAGATAGAGAAGCTATCGAGACTGTTGAAAGAATAACAGACAACTGCTCACAGATAAGGACAAATAGGATCGAGCAAAAGCAAGTAACAACCCTAATCATATGAGAATAAAACAGAGCAAATATGATATTTATTGGGTTTGGTGATAGCCAAATCACCATACCAATATTTTCTTCCAAAAATTAAATTTTATGGTAAAAAGAAAATGGATTTTCTTAGGAAGGAAGAAAGTAATATCTATATAAAAGAGTCAAGTAAGGTATAATACCCATTCTTTTGAGGGTCACCTCTTAGGGGGTTATGGGAAGGGATCTCCAAGATGGAGATTGGTCTTCAAAAGTGAGAGAGACATAACCTCCGAGAGAGAGGCGGTATTCTTATAAGTTTTGGGTTTGTAAGGCTTCAACTTCTATAGAGAGAAAATATCTCATTTGCTCTCGAAGTTATCTTTCCGATAATGGTATTGCGATGGGAAAGAAGATATTAATTGACGATGTTGTTCGATTGGGAGAGCAGGATAAGAAGGGAAAATCTGTTAGAGTTTTTTACTGACCAAAAGTTGTAATCTTCATTGCGATAGTGAATTTCTACTTATCGAAGCCGTGGATGTAGCACCACAGGGTGAAATACGTAAATCATGTGTTATGGTTTGTGTTTTTTTTAATGTTTTTTTTATTTCTCGCACTTGATTTTTTACATTTAGTCAATCTTGTACACGATCTTGGGTGGGATTCCGGTATTTAGGATTCCTGATTCTACAAGCTAGCGGTTCTTAAAAACCCTACAATTCGTATCAGAGTACAAGGTGTGTACGGGGCTAAGGCTTATAGAAGAAAAATATGAATGGGGACATTAGATGGTTACATAATTTGAGGTCGAGAAATATGAATGCAAAGTGTTTGTGAAAATTCCACAAGAGAGGCAAGTGAGAAGAAATCAATGAATCTATTCAATGAAGGTTACCGATTGATGAACTTTCTTGAAAAGGAAAAAGTGATATCTATATAAAAGAGTCAAGTAAGATATAATACCCATCATTTTGAGCGTCACCCTTTTGGGGATTACGGGAATGGATCTCCAAAAAGGAGATGGGTCTCTAAGAGAGAGAGAGACATGGCCTCTTAGATAGATACAGTATTCCCATGAAGTTTTGGGTTGATTTAGTTTCCACTTTTAGAAAGAACAAGTTTCTCGGTTGTTTCTCAAAGTTATCTTCCTGGTAGCTGGAAAAGAAGATATTGATCGACGGTGTTGCTATGTTGGGAAAGCGAGTTTCGAAGGGAAGATCGGTGACGGTTTTTTACTGATGTTTAGAGAGAGGTATGTCTCTTGTAACACAAAATTATAATCTTCATTGTGATAGTAGATTTATACTTGCTGAACCTGTGGATGTAGCCTTGTGGTGATTTTTAATGTTTGTTTTATTTCTTGCACCTAGTTTATAGCTATATTCTACTTCACATTTAGCCAATCATGTACACGATCTTAGTTGGAATCTCGATATTTGGGAATCTCGATATTTAGATTATTATTATTTTATCAGATGGGCACCTTGTATGGGTTTATATTATTATTATTTTGTTAGATGAGCGCCTTGTATGGGTTTATATGGTATAATCTCTCCGTACTCTTTATATATAAGATAAGAAATGCAAGCTCAGATGCACATTTGTTTCGACTCCACTTTTAACTCGTGATCGGATTGATTATTTTTGGGGCATGTTTCTACAAACAAATAGTGTTAATTATTTTTAGTTGAGGCCACGAATTTGCATCCGAAATAATCGGGTGAATATTAAGGCCCCACCAAGTTCATTTCTCCATGTGCTAACTAGAAAAACAGATCCTCCACTTGCTCATAGCGTGCAAAATTCATATGAAATCATTTGAATCATATCAATTCAAGTAGCAAGTGAAATCATATACACCCCATTGATAAAATTAAAATTAGCACTTATTATATCAAATTTATTACACTACCACGGACTTCGAGGATGATCGAGAGATAGTCAACCAGTTGTCCAAGTATTTTAAAATTGCCAACCTTTTTCAAAAAAGAAAAACTAGAAATAAATAAAGAGTATGTTTCCATCATAGATCTTGAAAGGTTTCCTACAAGGCCTTAGTAACCTCTAGGGAGAGGGGTGGGTTTGCTTTAGCAAATTGAGAGTGTGGAGTTCATCTTAGTTAAACTCAGGCAGAGAAATGGTTCCTATTGGTGGCAATCCAGAATCGTGAATTTCTATCATGGTCTTCAATATTGGAGATCTGAAGGCCTGTACAACAAAAGCAAGTTCAATCTCCAAGAAAAATAACAAAGATTCTCCTCATTCTATCATAATATTTTGATGACCTAAAAAAAATAAATCAAATGAATGAGTAGCGAGCATATACGTGGTTTGGCAAGATGCCTACATCACGGAAGAAGAGAGTCACTATTCTTTTTATTTCTTATCTCGATTACATGGGTTGCACCATATATATATATATATATAAAATGAATGAGTAGCGAGCATATACGTGGTTTGGCAAGATGCCTACATCACGTAAGAAGAGAGTCACTATTCTTTTTATTTCTTAACTCGATTACATGGGTTGCACCATATATATATATATATATACACACACACACACAATAATACACCATATCATAGTCCCATAAAAGTAGCTCAACACGGTGAACTAACCAGGAGAGACTCCACAAATATAGATAATTTTGTTTTTTAACTGTAACCATCCATAAAGATAGGGTCAACTTTCAACACTCCCCCTAAAATTGGTACGAATATTTCTATTGAGCCCAACTTGCTCAAAATTTGATGAAACTATTTCTTTGCAAGAGCTTTGGTAAATATGTCTGCCAGCTGATCACGACTTTCTAATGAATGGTATGCAACTGATATTTGCTTGAACCTTTTCTCGGACAAAATGACAATCAATCTCTATGTGTTTGGTTCGTTCATGATAGACATGATTTGAGGCAATATGAATGGCTGCCTGATTGTCACAAAACATTTTTATTGGAAGCTGAGTTTTCAACCCCATATCTTGAAAAAGATGTTTAAGCCAAATTAATTTACTTGTTGTTGAAGCCATGTCCCTATATTCTGCCTCAGCACTTGATCGTGCCACAACATTCTGTTTTTTGCTTTTCCATGTGACAAGATTACCTTCAACAATAGTACAATATCTTGTGGTAGACCTTCTATTTGAAGGACTACCTGCCCAATTTGCATCAAAGTATCCCTCAATATCAACATTTCCATTTGGCTTCATCCATCTTCCTCTTCTAGGTGAAGCTTTGAGATACTTCAAAATCCTTTCAACCGCTTCCATATGACAAGTTCGTGGGGCTTGCATATATTGGCTAATAAGACTAGCCGCATACATAATATCGGGACTTGTTATAGTTAGGTAAATAAGTTTTCCAACAAGCCTTTGATATTGACCAACATCTTGAAGGGGTTCCCCATCAAAAGGATTTAATTTCTGACTGCTATCTACTAGCGAACAAATAGGTTTGACCCCTAATTTTCCAGTTTCTTTAAGTAAATCGAAAACATATTTTTTTTGACAAATGAAAAAGCCCTTTTTTCGAGTAAGTCACTTCTATTCCAAAAAAATACTTTAATTGGCCAAGATCCTTAATGTCAAATTTATTATGAAGATGTGCTTTTAATTTTGAAATTCCCTCCTGGTCATTTCCTGTGATGACAATGTCATCAACATAAATGAGAACAACGATAGTTCCCTTACTTGTTTTCTTTACAAACATAGAGGAATCAACACTACTTTTTTTAAAACCTACATGAGTGAGAGCATAGCTCAAATTTGCATATCATACCTTGGGCCATTGTTTCAATCCATATAAATCATTTTTTAATTTACACACTATTCTATTTTCTAGTTCCCTTGGATGCCCCGAAGGCAAACTCATGTAGACCTCTTCTTCAAGATCTCCATGGAGAAATGCATTTTTCACATCATTTGAGACAATTACCATCCAATATTAGTAGCCATAGATAATAGGACACAAACCTTGTTCATTTTTGCAACTAGAGCAAATGTCTCTTTATAATAAAGTCCAAAAGTTTGTGTAAATCCCTTGGCCACAAGTCTGGCCTTATATCGTTCAACAGTTCCATCACTTTTAAATTTAGTTTTGAAAATCCATTTGTAGCCAACAGCCCTTTTACCTATAGGTAGTTTGACAATTTCCCATATATGGTTTTTATCAAGAGCTCTAAGTTCCTCCTCCATGGCTCTCCTCCACATAGGCAGGGATTGAGCCTCAGAAAAGGATTTAGGTTCTGGACTATCAGTGATGGCACTTATAAAAGCAGCATAATTTGGAGACACATGATTGTAACCTATGTGTTCCTGAATAGGATTAGACAACATGATAAATGAAAAAATCCTTAAGATTAGATGGAAGATGAGTCATACGAGTCGATCGCCATAGAGGAATCATGAGTTCAGAAGACTAGGCCACGGGTTCTTCATGAATCACTTCAGGTCTGTCTTCAACTTGATGATTTTCACAATTTTCTTTAGCACTACCATTTTGAGGAGTTTTACTAATTTTTTACTTGAAAATATCAGTATTAAGAACAGGTAGTGGTGAGATATTAGTACACTCCCCCTTGGTCATATTTTCAGAAGATTCAACAGAATTACTGTGAAAATAAGGCTCAGTTTCAATAAAAACAACATCCCTTGACATATAATTTTCTTGTCTTCGGATCATAGCATTTGTACTCCTTTTTAATAAAAGAGTACCCAAGAAAGATACATTTAGTGGCCCGTTTTTCAAGTTTGTCTCTATTTTGTTCATGAACATAACAGGTGCACTAAAAAACTTTCAAGTGAGAAATATCAATACATCTTCCTTTTAGAATTTACAACGGTGACTTTTCTTTTAGAATTCTACTTGGGATTCAGTTAATTAGATAACAGGTTGTAAGAACAACTTTAGACCAATAAACTTTTGGTATATTCATTTGGAACATAATGGATCAGATCACCTTCCTATTTTTTCGTTCAGCAATTCCATTTTGCTGAGTCCCTATACAAGAGGTTTGGTGAGAAAATCTGAAAAATTCTTATTTACTAATTCGGTTCCATTGTCGGTACGAAGGATCTTAATTCTGTCATTAAATTGATTTGAAACCATATGATAGAATTCTTTGAAAGTATGAAAATCTTCACTCTTCGATTTCAATAAATATATCCAAGTGGTCCTAGATTTATCCTCGATAAATGTGACAAAATACTTAAACCCATCATAAGAAGTTATTGGGGCAGGTCCCCAAACATCAAAATGTATCAAATGGAAGGGCTCATCATAAAAGCTTGTAGAACTCTGAAAAGGTAATCAAACTTGTTTTGAAAATTTGCACACATCACATGAACATGAATCTGAATAAAGTCTTAGAAATAAAATCTTTAAAATATTGCCTGAAGGATGGCCAATCCTAGAGTGCCATAAATTACCATCATTCACATTTTGTCTAGCTGTTAAGTCCTTATTATGCAAATCAACTAAATATAAGCCATGCGAAGTATGTCCCTCACCAATCGTTTTCCTCGCTCGATCCTGAAATATCACAGATTGAGGAGAAAATACGATGTTACAATCCAAATCATTGGTAATTTTGTTAACCGAAAGCAAGTTTGAAGGAAAGGATGGCAAATAAAAAAACATCATGATAGTTATCGGAAAGAAAATTGGCTTTTCCAATCCCTCGTATAGGAATCTTTACCCCATTGGCAATTGACACAGGTTGGCTATTCGTGATTTCTTTGAAGTTGGAAAGACATTCCAAACTCCCTGTCATATTGTCACTAGCCCCCGAGTCAATAATACATGTGGATGTTTTTCAAGGCAACAAGGTACAAGAGTTAGCAAAAAGATTACCTGTTTCTTGAGAAGATTTATTACCCGAGGGTGTTTCCTGTGTGGAAGTAAAGCCATTCTTTCCCAATTGTTGAAGAAGTTGTGCTAATTGTTCCAGGCTAAATTGAGAGTTAGAAGATGCAGCTTGAGCACAGGAACTTGCTTCAGAAAATGAACCTTTGTCCCATGCCGGCCTCAGATGAGGATGTAAACCCCATCACCTATCTTTGGTATGACCAGTATTTCGGCAATGATCACACCTCATAGAAAGTTTACCCCCATTGCCACATCCTCTCTCCCTTCCGCGGGAAGCAAACCCTCTACTCAAATTACTTAAAAAATTTTGCACCGTTTTAAAAAAAAAACTCTTTGCAAAGAAATAAAGACGCCTATGCACCACAAGTTTTGCTCGAGCATAAATTTGCCCACCAATTTTGCACACAAGATGAGATCAAATTTTGCTCCACACATTTTGCACACCAAAGAAGGTGCAAAAAATATGATGTAAACTTTAGATAAGGACGACTAGTTTTTGCGCCACACGTTTTGCACACCAAAGAGGGTGCAAAAAATATGATGTAAACTTTAGATAAGGATGACTAGTTTTTTAACTCGTTTTGCACTCCAAAGATGGTGCAAAAAGAATGATTGTAAACTTTAGATAAGGATGACAAGTTTTTTTTTTACAATCAAGATGATCCACCAACTTTTGGACAAGCGTGCAGTATCGTGCAAAATCTTCGTTATGTAAAGAGAGAAACAACCATGGTAAAAAAAAACTTACAAGTTCAATAATGGCAGAGGCTAGAACGAGTCTCTCTCAAATTTTATAGAGACTAGATCAATACGGATCCAAACAACAGCTATTAGTAGCTCTGAAATCGATATGCTTTGATACCAAGAATACAAAATAAATCAAATGAATGAGTAGCGAGCATATACATGGTTCAGCAAGATACCTACATCCACGGAAGAAGAGCGTCACTATTCTTTTTATTTCTTATCTCGATTACATGGGCTGCACTATATATATATACACAATGATACACCATATCATAATCCCATAAAAGTAGCTCAACATGGTGAACTAACTGGGAGAGACTCTACAAATATAGATAATTTTGCTTTTTAGCTGTAACCATTCATAAAGATAGAGTCAACTTTCAACAGTACTAAAATATTTTCTTCCCGAAAGCTCTTGCTGTATAAGAATCGTAAGAAAATGTGTAGCTCATCTTGGTTAAACTCAGGTAGAGAGATGGTTCCTGATGGTGGTGATCTAGAATCGTGAATTTCTATCATGGTCTTCAATATTGGAAATCTGACGGCCTGCACAACAAAAGGAAGTTCAATTTCCAAGAAAAATAAAAAGGATTCTCCTCATTCTTACATAATATTTTGATGACCTAACATGCAAAAGAATGTGCTTGAGATTGAGAGTTTCTATCAGTATGCCGTGGCTCACCCAAGGTCTACCGAGGGTGAGGCCGGGTTTCCCCGAGTTGGGTGCACCACATGGGCATGTTCAAGTACTTCACTAGAAAAATTCTAACAGAGTTAGGTTGCCTTACTACTCAAGTGGCTAATGAGATGTGAGATGGAAGTAGACAAAAATAAAGATCTACAACAAAGTCGGTTGGTACGTGGTTCCATGCCGCTAGTTGGTTGGAACATGGAACCGTAGCATATGCTCAGTACATTGCTTCTAAGATCAGAAAAATAAAATGATCAAAATATACCTAAAATTGTAGAGGAATTTGGTAATATATTATTTTTGGAAGTATTTTTATATTAATATTTTTAGGTGTGCTCCATTGCGGCTAATTTCATGTTCATATGATTTGTAGATTAAAAAAAATGAAAATAAAATACTCTCACCTCAAACCAAGAGGGGCCCGATAATGTGGGTTAATGAAAATAATGTGGATTAATGAAAATTAAGTTACCAGAATTGCTTTTGTAGATAAAAAAAATGAAAATAAAATACCCTCACTTCATACCGAGAGGGGCTAACTTGTGCTATGTGCTATGCATCCGATAATGTGGGTTAATGAAAATAATGTGGATTAATGAAAATTGAGTTATTACAATTGCTTTAGGGGCAGGAAAAGCAGGTCCATCACCAATATACCGCACTACAGCTTTCAAGGCAAGAGAAAACCCCTGTGTGCAAAACAATTGAATAAAGTACAACGCAAAATAAAAATCATGTTAATAATTGAATAAAGTACAACGCAAAATAAAAATCAACTCTTGGATTTTAAGGAAAAGGAGACCTGACGATCCAGATTGATCCGGATGGGTGATGTGGAAAAATAACTAAGAATAAAATAAAGATTAAACTAGGGGTTATGGGTTGGGTAATTAGGGGGACCTCAAAAAATATTATACAAGCTTTTTGAAAAAGGAATAAAAATTAAAAGAGGGGTGAATTAGGCTGGGATCGGCACTTGTTCGAAACAAATGCGGTCCCAACCAATTCATAAATCAATAAATGATTTCCAAGGTTCAATTGAAAACTCTCTCTCTTATCGATGCATATCAAGATAAGACATAGTGATGGGTTGGATATTTAGGGGTGAACGAAAGACTAATGTGATTTTATCGGGAGGATATATTTTTTTATTTTTCTTCTTTTCATTTTTTTATTTTTCATTTTTTTTCATTTGACAAGATCACTTACAAGTAGTCTTATTACAATAACTCTTGCTTCAAAGAAAATAAAACTTACAAATCCAATATCTTAAAAACCTTAATGTCACTAAACCAATTTTCTTTAAAGAAAGAAAATAACTACAATTCTTGTGCTTGAGAATATAAAAACAATATAATTAAATCTGACAAGAAACAAAAGAGAGTACCGGAGATTACCTCAACCAGGCTTATTACACCCCATAGCGAGTCGCCACCATCCGATGGCGCGGGATCAACGATCAACCTTCAATCTCAACCGAAAAAGCAAGTTTAGGCCAAACTCTATAATGGAACAATAAACTCCTTTATCACAAATCTCAAACCTTTAGGTGAATCGCCTTAGCAACCTAGTTTGAGAGAGATGCTTTTTTTTTCTATGACAACCCTGTAGTATAAAACCCTAATGAGAGATGAGAGATCATGAGAGAGTTGATAGAACCGCCATGAGAGAGATATCACAGATGAGAGTGTACAACGTGCCCATTTGGATCTCTTGAGAGAGAGAGAGAAACTTTCTTAAGAGAGAGATATTCTAAGTGGAACGTGCCCGCTTTGTGGGAAATGAGAGAGACATAGGAATTAGGAGTAATTGATAAGGTGTAGAGATTTGGGTAGGGATCAATTCTTTTTTTACAGTGTTTGAACAAGGTTAGGGTTTTTTTGGGTTTTCCTTGACTTGTTTTTTCTTGTGAGATTGAATATGAACCATTGATCTTGGGTGACTTGTGGGATGACAGATTTAAGCCTTCCATTCTATAGATGAGTCATCAACATTATGAAATGTGCTAGAACCTTTATTTCTCGTCCCTAAATCATTTTTCTATCAATAGAAATTAAATAAAATAATTCCATTCATATGGTTGGCCCATATGCATATTGGACCTCCCATGTAAAAATAAATTAATTAAAAATTATATGAGTTTTAGAAATTCATAAAATCCAATATGAATAATTAAATTAATCTAAAATCAATATTTTTGTTTTTATAAATCTAAATTTGATTAATAAAATATCTAGAGATCTAGAAAAATTCAAATAATAATTCTAAAACTAATATAGCATTAAAGCAAACATAATTAAATTCATTAGATGAGAAATGATCTATATGGTCTATGAATTAAATAAATAAACGCTGGGGCACTCCACCTTCAACTGTGGACTAACATTTGCTTTATCAAATCGACCTAGTGTTTCTCATGATCCACAATTCATGTAAGGGCTCACTAGTGGGTCACCAAAGTCTGACCAATGAGCCAAAGGGTCGTAATCCTAGTTTATTGATTTCAGGTTTTCCTCTAGAGACATATCAATGTCACCTAAACCTGATGCGACCACAGCTCCTATGGCGCATAGAGGTATCTTTCGCACATGCATAAGCTTCACTTTAAAAGGTGGTTCGCTTTCTCGAAATGACTATCATATATGTATGTCGTGTGATGGCTAGCAGATGAAGCTTTGGTCCCCGTCTCTAAAGGCCACGATCACTTACAAGTCACACAGTCCCTCGGCTCACTCATCTAGGCATATCATCAAGGGATGACCTATTAGAACCCTTATTAGTATGGTCCATGAGGGACCACATTCCTACTAAATTAGCGTTCCATTATATCAAAATGTTTTATTATAAGCACTTATAAGGCATTTAATTGTCACACTCACCCAACTTCTCTCACTTGACCTTTAAAGGTCTTATATTTTCTCTTCCTCACTTTCTCTCATCCCCATCTTTCGCACATGTCTTACAAATATATTAGGGGCAACCCCCTTTGTCAGAAGATCTGAAATCAATAGATTTGTGGATATATAGCTAATCTCGATCTGTGGATATATAGCTAATCTCGATCTTTATCAATCTCACATCATTCCTCAGGTGATAGAAATATGGTTTTATATGCTTAGAGTTCTAATGGAATTGAGGCTCCTTTGACATGCATATACTGCCGTATTGTCATAGAACATCCTTACTGTCTCACAATGTATGGGGTGAAAATCAAGTCGATTAAGAAATTTCTCAATCCATACCGTCTCCTTGGCCGCTAAACAGTATGCCACGTACTCTGCCTCCATGGTGGACAATGTCACCACATCCTGTTTCTTTGATTTTCAAAAAACTGTATCACCCTCCAAGCATGAACACATATTCAGATGTTGACTTCGTATTATCAGGATCCGTGAGATAACTTGCGTATGTATATATCTGAATATCCAAACTGCTAAAAAAAAAACATGGGAATGTAGTAGCTCCTACTCAATTATTGCACATACAACATATACATTCTTAGCATTTTTATGCAATAACTAATTCAATACCCGTTTGTTTCACAATATGCAAAACTTTCTTGAACCATAAAGGTTCAACCACACTAGTCATCTTTGTAGTAAATTTATACAAACCAATTTGTCTAATCACAAAGAAGTCTAGCAAGATGATGTTCATACAACATTCTCTATGGTTTAAGGTCTTAGGTAATCAACAATTCTAAATAACTAGAACATGGGTCAAGACATATAGGTATTTAAAAACCAGTACATGACAGTTTTTCTCCCAATTTTATAAATACCTTCAAGAGACAATGTTTTTCTCTTTAATAATAATAAAAAAGCTATTTACCATGTATATATATATTCGCAAGCAATAGTTAGATAATAATATAACATTTTAAAATGATTTTTCATAAAGACTTAGTGGACCTTGTAAGACTATGTGGTTTTTTCAAAACTATATTCATAGACTTAGGTTTTTCTCAAATCATCCAATTTAATTTTAAAATACATGATTAACCTTCATAAATCATTTTAACGCATTCACATTTAATTTCCTACAAAGTCAAGTTCATGGCCATACAAAAAACCATAAATACCGTCTTATAATTTTATCCAAAATAAAGCATGACTAAAGAAAGGTTATCAAAATCTTGATAAAATACTTCCTTTTAGCAAATATAGGGATTTTATCAAGAGATCATCATCACATGAAATACATTATATTACAGGACATTATTGGGAGGATGGTCACTAAGACCCAGTTTCATCAGAACACACCTTTTGTGCTTTACATATTTGAATATGTCACACCCATCTCTCATGTTTTATCTTTAGGGGTCAAAAGCCCTTGATCAAATCACATCTTCATGTGTATCACTACCTTACATAGTTTATACTTTAGCACAAAGAGACACTAAAACACAATGTATTAAAAAATCGGCTCTTTCAAATTTGTAAGTACTAATCACTTAATGTCTATGCACTCCATACATATTCATAAAACAATTAGCCATAATGTACCCAAATCATATTAAAAATAAAATAAAAAGTTATCGAATCATCTTTCCCTATATGGCCTTACCATGTAATGTGAGATATATTTCATACCTCAAAACCATGTAGTGTGGCACCTGGGTTTTTTTTTTATTAATTGCGTTTACTTGTTTGACAAGCTTTTGTGATCTTGGATGAGTACGCAACTGATGGAGAAAATATTGGTCATCGGTTTCACATGTCAGAAGTGTCCTTCTCTTCGGCACTTGGATTCTCTATGTCTCGCACCATGAAAAAATTCTCTTCTTCATTATATGATTTCAAATATCACAAATTTGATTCTCTCATTGATCTTTAGTATTTTTTTGCTACTACCAAGTCTCTCTATGTATCCCTTCATTTCGAAGAAACCAAGATGCTTTTATAAGTATTATGTTTCTTCTTCTTTCTGCTATTCCCAAATCGGACACTCTTCATATAGAGTATCATATCTCACCAACTATGTATTGCATCTATCTGGACTTTTATTATAATAAATCATACTCATGGTACACTATAAAAAAACTTTTTAAATGAGCTCTAAAAATGCCTCCATAATTAGGAGTCCAAATATGTGTCTTAACATGACACATCTTTTAATTTACTACAGAATAGAATATAAGCATCACATGATAAAATTGATATCTCTCAACTCATAAATAGTTTATGTCTGAATCTTTTTTAGTATTGAAATAGACTCAAAATATAAAATAGTGCTCAGATCCATCTATAAATCACACCATTTAGTGAATTTACGTTTTAGTGATATTTACGTCACAATGTAATTTTTCAGCAGAAAATCAGGTTGAGCACCTCTCAATAAAAAAATTGTTTCTTTTAATCCTTAAAGAATTTCTTCTTGAAATATTGTATTGAAAACTAGACTCAAATGTAAATCATAACATCATGGTGTGAATCCCAAATAGTAATTTTCTTCAGAAAAATATATAAATGACATTCACGTCACAAAATAAATCATACTGCAGAATTCCTGGATGAATACTGACTAGTAAAATTATTTTTTCTCTCTATTCTCATGGAGTTTTCTTTCAAATCAATTTTGTTTGAAAGTAGACACAGAATGGTAGCACATATGTTTCCACAAGCTTCACATCGCTCTTTTAAGTAGGCTTTGATAAATGCAATTATTCATATCTCAATGAAGAACACACCAAATTACAAAAAATTTAAGATGACCTCTCTTCAATCCGAAATTTTTATTCTTATATTCTCTTAGATATTTCTTTCTCAAATAAATTTTATTAGAAACTAGACTCGGAATGGAAGCTTAAAAACTTAGTGTGAGCCATAAAATATTTTGTTAAGAATGTAAATAAAATTATAACTTCCAAGTTATTACAATAATTTTCATTGCAGAAAACAACACTTGTGCACCCTTAAATATACCATATTTTTCAAACCACAAGGAATTTCTTGATGAAACTAATTTTTTTTTTATTTTTAAAAGTAGACTTAATTTGATAAGTTATCTTCAAATTTTAGTTAGAAATAAAGTCATATTGGTAGAAAAAATCACGGAACTTAATGGACAGTTCCTAGATTTTGTCGGGTCAGAACTGATACCTTCATTGATGAATTCATAACTCTAAATTCCCTTAGGATCTCCCACTGAAATTTTGCAGGTAGTTTCTACTCTAAAAAACATATAATATTACTGAAGTATACAACAAAAAATAACTCATTATCTTCTTCATATCACGGCTCCAAAATAGCACAGAATACCCATTCTGCATAGTGCATTTTTCGGTATTTGAATATTGTAATAAGTCCTTAACCAAGGTGTATTATTTGACCCCAAAGGTCATTAGTTTTCTTATATCTCAATCCCAAGCTTGATCTAGGCTTAATAAAGAGAAAATACAACTAATGATATCAAGTGTCAATAACTTTGAAATCAATGAAAGGAAAACTAATGCGATATTGTCGATGAATATATTTTTTTATTTTTCTTTTTTTCAACCATTTTCTTTTCTTTTGACAAAAATAACTTACAAGTAGTCTTATTACAATAACAAATCCAAAATCTTAGAAACCTTCATGCCACTAAACAAGTAGGAAGATCTACCAAGCAAGTTTTTGTAGAAAAATTGCTTGAAGCCTTTAATACTACATTTCTTGAGTTTATTCGACACAGACTAGTTTATTGTACGTTGGCACACAAGTAAATCCACCTTGATTTTTGATAAATTTGTTGGAAATGCATCTCAAATATATTGAAATGTATCTCCGTGCATTTATAGCCCAAAAAATAATGCAAATCAAATGATGCGTGAAGAAATAAAATAAACATACTCCATTATTTATTTTGGAGAATCGTTTGTTGGGTGCAAATCCACGATTGTTGCTATGCAGGCTTAGAGATCTACATCATCCACCAAACAAAGAGTAGACCTACACTATAAATAAATGGGTGTGGTTTGTATAGAATCGAGGCTCTAAACAATCAAAATAAAGCACGCCATCAAATATTGTCTAGAAATGTGGTTTAAATACTGGAAATCTTTGTGATAGTCATAAAATATATTTTTATTTTTAATTATAAAATTTAAACCTTAAAAAATAGTAGATCGAGCAAAACTTGAAAATCTTGAAAATTGACGGTCTAAAAATGCATTACAATGTGCACTATTTACAAAACTTAAAACCTATTTTTTCTCATGTCCATGCATCTTGATGTCGAAATGATCAATTTGAGGATATTTGATCATCAAAACAACCTCTTCTAGTGCAATTTTTAAGGTAGGCTGTAATTTGATTGTTTAGAGCATCGGCTCTATATAAACTTTTTTCTAAATAATATTCCCTCCAAAGAAAAAGTTAAATCAACCGCTCAAATATTTTCTCTAAAAAATATCATTTCTAATTTTTAAAATTATTTATTTTTACAGATTAATAATCTACATTTTAAAGATTATACATTCCATAAAAATTACGATTAAATTCTATGGGTGTGGTTTGTATAGAGCCGAGGCTCTAAACAATCAAAGTAAAGCACACCTTCAAATATTTTTGAAAAAATTGGCTATCCAAAAATGTGTTATAAAATGCACTATTTCTAAAACATGAAATTTAATTTTTTCTCATGTTTATGCATCTTGATGTCGAGATGATCAATTTGAAGATTTTTTATCATCAAAACAACCTCTTGTGAGGAAATAATTTATGTGGTGGGCTGTATATAAGCTTTTTGCTTTATTCTTACATTTTTAGTGTATTCCTCATCTTTTGTCGTGACGTCAACGGAATCCATTCCGTAAAGCGGACGCATTTGAGTGAGTGCGTGGGCCGACGCACCACAGCGCTGGCCTTCGACAAATGTCCTTAAAAATGAATCGACTAATTTCCCTAAATATTTCTTGGCCTCCCTCTTTCTTCCATTAAATTTTGTGGGCCTCTGTCTCTCTCTCTTTACCATGTGACGTCAACGAAGACGGCCGTAGAAGACCCGTTGCCCTTTGTTGAGTCCTGACAACGGCCGCTGTTTGCTTTCATGCCTCATAAAAGCATTGAATTTCATGACTGGACGAGAAAATGATGAGAGCAAAACAACCATGATGAGAGAGAAAGCACTGACCGATCATCAATGTCCCTTTCCATTGGCTACTAAATTTGATAAAACTTTTTGCTAGCTAAGTCTCTTTAATGGCTTTGGAGAAAGTTCAAGCACGTTCTTTGGTACAGGCTCTAAAAGTTTTGGGTCTCCGGGTTCTTTTTGGGGGTGATTTGCAGTAACTGCAAAGAAGTTTTCGATTATAAATTTTGGATCTTGAGAAATGACGTTTGTCTTTGTTTTGGCGGAGAAAACAGTGAATCGCACTTTCTCTCTCTAGAAAAGTTCGATTGCTCCGCCCATCGAAAGAAATTGGTTGCTCCGCTGTTGGCAGTGGTGATTATTTTTCTGTTGAGAAAAATCTATTTTTCAGGGGCGGTAGCCTTTTTGGTTTAGGGTGAACAAATTGGGCTTCTCTCTCTAGAAATTAGGGTAATTAATCAGGCGTTTTGGAAGGGGCTTTGCATTGTTTTCTCTGTGGATTAGAACTGGGTTTCTCTCTGTGATTAAGTTGGGGGCGTCTCTCTGTTTTTGCTGCTGAGAAAATTTGGGTTGTGGGTTTTCTTTGAGAATGATGAAACAGGGTCTCTCTTTCTAAAAACATTGAAGATTTGTTGGTTTTTTTAGAGAGAGCAAGAGATGGGGGTTTGTTGCAGTAAAGAGGCTGTTGGTTCTGAAGAAGAAGATATCAATAGTTCAGGCGCAATCGCCTCGATGTTTACTCAGCAAGGTCAAAAGGGAATTAATCAAGACGCCATGATTTTATGCGAGGTATCATATAATCTCCTCAATTATCACTGCAATTTTTTTAAAAAAGATGCATCATTTTTCTCTGCCTTTTCATTTCAATCTTTAAACTTTTAGAATTGGTCAAAAGAAATTTCCATTAAAGCTTTATGGAAAAACATAACATGTCCTCAATTTTGTTTTGATTTCCTCTCAAATTCATCTGTTACGTTTTTTTTTTTCATTGTATAATTAGAAGTAAGATATCTTGAATGTTTCCTGATTTACTCTCAGTTCTCTTTTTTTTTCTCTTTCTTGAGTGTTTTTCAACTGATTCCTTGTTCTATATTACAAATTGTGTAAAAACAAAAACCAGGATTTTGCCTGGAAAACAGGGACCATATTTTGTGGTGTTTTTGATGGCCATGGACCTTATGGCCATAAGGTGGCTCGCCATGTGAGAGACAATCTACCTTCTAAGCTTAAGTCTGAATGCGAGGCTTGTGAACTGGATTCAGATGAAACAGAAGATTGTAGTGAGAGAAACAGCGAGAATGGGGAGCGAAAAACAGAGTACCCCCCTGAATTCTCTTCATGGAAGGCCAGTTTTTTGCAGGCTTTTAGAGATATAGATAGAGAATTGAGGGTGCACCCCGAGATTGATTGCTTTTGCAGTGGCACTACTGCTGTTGCATTGGTTAAACAGGTGTGAAGACACTCCTCCCCCTCTCTCTCTCTCTGTACCAGGTGTGCCGACACTTTGTCTCATTTGCTGGATGCGGTCCTAAGTTTTACTGGTTACTACATTACTAGGGGTGGCAATCAGGTCGGGTCAATCCGCAGACCCGCGGGTCCACCTCAATCCTAATTCGGGTCTGCAGGTCGACCTGAATCCTGAATTGGGTCAGGTTCCAAATGCTTGGACCGGACTCGCGTCGAGTCTGGGTTCAGCATTTACCCTATCGGGTCGGTATAGTTATATAATTTATTTATTTTATTTCCTTAACTTCTAGACTAGGGTGGTCCAGATCTGGTCTAGATCCAAGTCATTTGGACTCAACCTAGGTCCTGGTTGGGTCCGGGCTGATACAAAGCCTAGTCGGATTAGGTCAAAGGTCCGTGTCAACCTGGACCGGACCTAACCCATTGCCGCCCCTACTTGCAGAGTCTATTTGGTGTGACCATATAGTGCATCAGTTGATATTAAGGATTTTTCTTTTAGCATATTGTGTTGGATTTGAATTGTTGATTTAGTTGAACAAGTTATTTATTTGGTTAATTTTTAATTCAGGGAGAGCACCTGGTTATTGCTAATTTAGGAGATTCACGTGCTATTCTGTGCACTAGAGATGATAACAACAAGATGGTGCCTCTTCAGCTCACCGTTGATTTGAAGCCTAATCTTCCAAGTATGCTCTCTTGACCATTGCTTTGGATGGTTTAGATAAGCCAAACTGTACATGTATCAATTAGTGATATTAGAAAGAGCAAAAAAATTTTATGTATCACTGCCGTTACATTATTCCCCTTGCTTTTTTTCGATTTCAAATTTATGACAAATTTTACTTAAGGTGGCTATTAATTATTTTCTAAGAAAAATGTTTTGATAGGGCTGCGGCTCTATTAAAATAAGTAAAGCCTCATCTCAAAACTCACCAAAAATTACAGTCCTGGTGTAGAAAACCATCAAATTCATCATCTCAGCCTTACTGTTATACTTGCGAAATTTTTTTTGGGATTTCATGCATAAAAAATAAATGTATACTGCCACACATTTTCTAGACCGGCTATTTCACCCTAAAATTAAGTCATTCATGGATCCATAAAATATTTGCTATTTCTTGAGTTTTGGATTTTATAATCGATTGAGAGCCATCAAGGAGATTTCCATTACCAAAACTGCTTTCGAGAGATATTCTAAGGGAGGCTTTACTTTGTTTTCATAAAGCTCAAGTCTTATTGAAACTCCATCCTTTCTTTGATCTCTTTGCTGTCTTTCTAATCTTGTAGAGCTTTTCCCCTGTTTAAATTTCCTCTCATATTTTTCATAGCATCTTTTATGAAAAAAGTTTAAAAACCTTATGAGAAATTCTAAAACTGTACGTTTGTTCTATTACTTGGGTTTTCTTAGGTGAAGCTGAGAGAATAAAGCAATGTAAGGGGAGGGTATTTGCGATGGAAGAAGAGCCTGATGTCGCTAGAATGTGGTTACCTAACGAAGATTGTCCAGGCTTGGCCATGGCTAGGGCCTTTGGGGACTTCTGTCTCAAAGACTATGGCCTTATCTCTGTCCCCCATCTCTCTTATCGGAAACTAACGCCTAAGGATGAGTTCGTTGTTCTCGCCACAGATGGGGTAAGCATTTCAATCTTTCCTCTCTCTTTTGCATGTTGCATGTCGAGCATTTGCAGTCTGCTGTTGAAGGTGGCAACGGGTTGGGCATGGGCCAGGCCAGGCCAGCCATCGTCCCCATAAGGCCGGCCTTGGTCCTGTTAGTAACGAGCTGGGCTAAAAAAAAACGAAGAAAAAATAAAAGAAAAACTAGAAAAAAAGAGGGCTGGCCTGGCTGAACCCGGGTAGGCAGTAGTCCTAGCTGGCCCTTGACCCACGGTTTGTAGTGCGGGCCCTACTTTTTAAGGATCGGGCCAATTGGGTCGGGTTGGGCCACCCAGCCCGCTACCAGCCTTGATACATGTCTCAATCGATGGATGAATGTGATAGATATAGATTTTAAAATTGACTTTTCATATGACACCTTTGTTTCTTACGATAGCTTGAAAAATCCTTGTTCCACCCTTATTATGAAATTTAATATTTCAAAAACAATACTGATCGAGCACATCTATAAATATTTAAAGGGAAATGATGGGATTAGCCCAATAGTTCATATGAACATATGAGTTCAACAGTCTAGATTGAATCTGAGCTGATCTGACGATCACGGATGTCTGGTAGTGCTTAAGTTTTTTTTTTTTTTACATATCCAAATTACTTGAAATTTTAGGTATCTGTTCTTATCATTAAGGCACACTTAATTAAAATATAAAAAAAATTATTCGTGAAAAACAAAATAACCAAAATACCTCCTTAAACTTTTCGAGGGTATTTTGGTCAATTTATTTCATGGAAAATATTTATTTGACATTTTTCGAAGATTCATCTATTTCTGATGAACACACACTTAAAATTTCAAGTGATTTGAATTTATAAAAAAAAAACTAAAATTCAAACACTACCAGACGTCCGTGATCTTCAGATTGGCCCAGATTCAATCTGGGACATTGGGTTCATATTTTCATATGAGCTAGTGGGTTAATCCCATCTTTTTCCATATTTAAAAACCTTTAAAATGGACAATTGAGATAGCTTATAATAAAATACACTACTTTTACGATTTGAAATTTATTTTTCTCTTTATATTTATGCATCTCTACTCGAGGTCGAGTCGAAAGGTTTTTTAAGTTGGGAACACTCTTTTTAATTAGGTTTTTAAAGTACATTTATAGTATAGGGTAAGCTTTCTATGTTTCCCCTACAACATAAAACTTATATACTTCCTCTAATCCAGCCCTCCATTTTGAATGAAGGGCCAAGATTGCTCCAATCACAATGTCATATCTCTATACTATTTTATTTTTAATTTTTTTTCTATAAACTATTTTGATACTAAATTTTGTACGTCCAATCCACTATTAAACTCACACTAGCGAAAAATATAAAAAAAATATTTTCAATAAAATATATAAAAAAATATTTTCAATAAAATAAAATGACCAAAATACCCTTGAAAGTTTCAAGGGGTATTTTGGCCATTATATTTTATCAAAAAATATTTTTAATATTTTTTACAGGTGCGCCCCAATGAGAATATGACACGTACCAAATTTCATATTCACACAATTTGTATAAAAAAAAAATTTTAAAAAAAAAATACTTTGAGACATTGGATCTAAGATCAAACGGTGAGTGGCTCTCTTGATCAAAATTAGACGGCTGGATGATAGGGAAAACATAGATCTTTTATGCTGTAGGGGAAGTATAGAAACCTTTCCCTATACTATAAAATTGCAACCATATATAAACTTTCCTCTGATACATATCCTCTCCTTTAAGTGACAAAGGTCATTCTTAAGGGGCTAGGACGGACACCTATGTCTTTGGTGTTACAAACACTCAATCGATTAAGGAAAAAATTTATGGGTTATGTTAGGCTGCTCCCATTATGTTTATTATTGTACTCAGCAAACTTTGGATACTTCTATACCCTTCTTTTGTACATGGAACATTTTTTTAAGGGAAAAGTTTAAATAAGGTTGCAACCTTAAAATATAGAATAATAGATGCACCTCAAAAATCTATCAGAAATGTTGTTTTAATGTTGAATAAACCCTCTAATCGATCATCTCGACATTAAGATGTATGAATATGAAAAAAAAAAAGTTTTTGAGTCCCGAAAATAGTGCATCTTGCGACACATTATCTAGACTGTCTATTTTCAAGATTTTCATATATTTATAGATCTACTTGATTTTAACCATTTTTGGAATTTTAAATTTTTTAATTAGGTATGAAAATAGATTTTAAGATAATACTAAGAATTTTTCGCAACAATATTACATGTTATGATAAAATTTTAAGGTGTAGCTTAATTAGATTGTCTAGGGTTGCATCTTTATAAAAACCGCACTCTTTTTTAATAAGGGTATTTTTAGTCATTAAAATGGATATGATGTCATCTGCGTGACATTATCCATTAGTAGCTTTTGATGCTCTATGGGTGATGTCATATCTCATGTAGATGCACACCCTTTTTTTTTTTGCATGTATTAATTCCTGTAACATTTATTGCCTAAACCCACACCTCTCTGTCTCTCTCCATTTTTATATCACCAGCGAACAACAAAACACATTCTCTCTCTTTATTTTAGTTTAGTTTCAAGTAGTTTGTATTGCTCTCTTTCTCTCCATTGTCGTGTTTATTTGTCTATCTCTATCTCTCACTCTTGCTGGTTTTAAGAAGTTGGTGTTGGTGTTGGTGTTGGTCTGTGTCTCCTATTTTCAAGTTGTCAGCGTTGTAAGAAGTTGATTGTCCCGACGAGGCTGATTGGATGTGGTTAGAATCGAAATCAGCCGACGTATGTGATTCTGATTCTGATTCTCTTCTAGCTTAATCAGCTCTTTATTTCTTAACTTAAAACTATCTACAACCTAAGAGCAAATGAATTTAGTTTTGGCCATGGGAGCACGGGTCCAATCAAGTTGGTGGTAGAAACAAAAGGGAATGAGTATACTAGGATTCGTATTATCACAAGTAAAGCTATGTTGATGAATGCCATCACCGTCCATCGGATGAAATTGACTGTGATAAGAGATTTTGTGTCCTGTTATTTGTGATCCAAATTGTAGGTACGCCACTTGACACCTTATATTTTTATATGGTCATATAAACTATATTAGAATATGTTGACAAAAAGAGCAAGACAAAAAAAACTAGACTGAAACCTCTATTTGTATTATTGATACAAGGAAGTGTAAATTATATTTGGATTTGCATTTCTATTTAATAAAAAATGGCTTTCCGTATTTGCCTTTGTATATATTATAAAATCTGAAAATTAATTGTTTTGATGTCAAGAGATTCTTTATGATAAAATATTAGGAGGTTAATAAACAACATATCTATAGGATGAGTATAGCAAAGATGAAGACGCTGAGATGGATGAGTAGCAAGACAAAAAATTATAGAATTCAAAATAAATACATTCGATGGAACTTAGGTATGACTTTAATAAGTGATAAGATGAGTGAAAGTAGACTTAGACCGTCTGGCCATATGCATTGTAAACTTAACTCGACACTGATTAGGAGGTACAATTTGGTTCAAATGAAAGGTTCTAAGAAGGCATAAGGAAGATCCATAAAGATATGGACGGAAGTAGTGATAAAAGATATGATGGCGTATGGTCTTATCGAGGGTATGACTCTTAGTAGAGCTGAATGACGGAACATGATTCGTATAGTCTACTTCCAAATAATTTGGATAAAGTTCAAATGATGATGCTGATGATGATGTAGAGCGTCCTTTTTTGGATCTCTTATATGCTTTGAACTAGTCATCATTGATAGATGTATTTTGGAGTTTGAATTCCTTATTAGACGTTAAACATATATCACGACAAGCACCCTTTTTATTATCATGATTAAATTACTTTGAATACCCCACACCAATGTGCTCTGTCCCCACTCCTTATCAAAATAATGTAGAAAACCATTGATTATTTGGCTAGTTGGGGTTTGTGTGGGGCAGGCAACTTCAGCCTAGTACTCTCGGATTTTTGCACAGGGTATTAATAACATCAGGTTAGTAGCGGTTAGGTTTACTTAAAAGTTTAGGTGGTGTGAATGGTTCAAAATATCCGGATGGTCTATCTGGGACATTTCAACCCATCCATAATTTCTCCATTCGTGATCGGGGTGTCTACAGTTGTTCATCTTTGACGCTTATATCTCACTCGGTGTAATACAAAGCGGCAAAGAAATAAACGCATGCAGTAAAAGTCTTGGTGTGTCACTGCGCCAAAGAGAGCACAATTATTTAACTTTTTCTTTCTTATTTTATCAATTAATACTATTTTATTTTGATATCTTGTATGCTTCTTCTTTTTTTATAACTTGTATTAATGAGTGAAAGTGAAAGCTATATCTCATAATTTAAAAAACAGCTATTAAATGCTAAGAAACCCCTCTGGAAATGGAATTCAGAAATAATTGCATAGCACCTTACCTTTTACAAGATGCGCATGTAATAATTGCAGAGGACCTTATCTTTACAAGATAGAGTACCATACCACCTAGAGGCTTCCAATAAATGTTGTTAGGCCTATTAAGAAAAAGGACCGGACCACCATCCATCAGTCTATAAATAAAATGATTTTATTATTTTGTGTTCTTCTGCAATTTTTGCCCTGACATATTTCCTTTATTTGGAAGGTTTGGGATGTATTGACGAACAAGGAAGTCATAAACATCGTTGCCTCCTCTAAGGATCGTTCTTCAGCGGCTCGAACACTGGTAACCCGAGCAGTTAGAGCTTGGAAATACAAATACCCAACATCAAAAATCGACGATTGTGCAGTTATTTGCCTCTACCTAAGAACGGAACCAACTGTAGCCTCCAAAGCCTCTTCCGAAGCACTGGAGTCGGTTCATAGTTGCCCGGAATCTTTGATTTCTGGTCGTTTGCGAGATGCTGATGATGGAGAAGGAGATGGTTTTCCACCTTGTTGTGTGGTAAGAGAGGGTAAGGATGAGGAAGAATGGAGCGCCCTAGAGGGTGTGACAAGAGTGAACTCTATTGTGAAGCTTTCTCGGAGATCTTGATGTCTTTCTCTTTTTAATTTTGTGTTGTTTCTTTCGTAGTTTTGTTGTACATGTTTTTGTTTTAAAGGGTGAGTTAGAAGCACCAAGATTTGGAGTTGTTTGGTTGGGGGTAGAAAGGAAATCTCTCTTTGGGAAAATGTTTTGATGGGGCTGCAGCGTTATCGAAATAAGTAAAACCTCACCTTAAAACTCATTGAAAATTACAACTCTTGCATCGGAAAGCATTGAAATCGATCATCTCAACCTTGATAATTATGGTTTTACAAAAATTTAGGATTGCAAGTCTTAAAAATGGTATATATTGTAACACATTATCTAGACTGTCCATTTTCCAATGTTCATGGATATATAGAATTATGCTTTTTTTGAGCGACAAATTTCGTTATCGGTTGTATATATAGATTTTAGAGCCATCATAGAGATTTCTTATGCCCAAAGTGGTTTTCAGATGAGGTTTCGTAGTGAGGCTTTACTTTTTTTCTATAAAGCCTTGGCCAAACAGAAGCTGCATCCAGTTTTTTTAATCAATATTTCTCTGAAAAAATTGTTGGGTTACTCTACTATAGGACATTTTGGACACATTCTGGCCATATTACCATTCGATAATTTTTATTAAGTATAGAATATTTTTAAGGGCCCATTTGGCACATGATTTTGGGACATGGATTTTTAACATCTTGGATAATTATTAAAAACCACCATTTGGTTTGTTTAATGGTTAGGATATTAAAAATTTACAGAAATTAAATCTTGGAAAGTCACCTAACTTTTCAATGATTTCATTTCCCCATCAAAACCTGTTTATTTTTTAATTTCCAAGGCCATGGATTCAACTCGTTGGCCCCCTCTACTTGAAACATAGGGCAAATTTGTTGTTAGTCCTAGATATAAAAAAAATCAAATAAGTAAATCAATATACAACTTATTTAGATCTATTATTAAATCACACGATGGAGTTAATGCTCCATACCAAATCCTAGAGACTAAGTTAATTGATGACAAGCAATATTGAGAGTCATCTTTAGTGAAATCTTATTCACCTCGCATCTCTCTTTTTCTATCATTTTCTCTCTCTATTTCTTAAGAGGTTAACCCTTTTTTATAGAGAACACATTTGTTTTGTAACTCTCACATTCATGGTCTTTAAGATTTGAGATCCAAGTATAATTGCTGCTTTAATTCCCTTAAGTGCAGCTAATTATAATTAACAAGCTGTCACCAAATTGTTAATCATAAGTAACGAGCTAAATCTGTCATTAGTCCCATAATGACTCACATAATAGGATGTCATCCAAACATTCATGCAATTTGATAAAAGATATTTAGAAATTAAATATTTATAGATCTATAATATAAAAATAATAATTGTTACAACAAATCCAAATACACTACAGGGTTTTCCCTCCAGTGACACAGGTTTTTCTTTCAGTGCAACATGCTTTTAAAATTAAAAAATGGATCCAAACATATGGCATTATTGTTGTGTGCGGAATCTCTAAACCTGATAGGTTGGTTTTTTTGGCTAATAAAGTACGAGAAAAATAGAACAAACAATAAGCAAAAAAAAAGATAAAGCAAAAAAGAAATATTACAAACAAAACACTAGAATTTATGTAGTTCACCCCAAGAGGATTACATGTACGGAAATCTACTATACCAATGTAAGTTACATCAAGGATTTTGAGACATAGAGTTACCTTTCTAACCTTAAACAAAATTCAGTTGAGACAACTTTTTTAAACCACTCTCCCGACCGACACCACATGTCGTTCTTCCTTCTCTTTACTTTTAGCAACCATTGTTGACATTATCGGATAGAGTTACGAGAGCAACAAGAAACTAAATTTCTTTCTAACTTAAAGGGGAAACCACCCAAATTCTTCATAAAAACCACTTCTCTACAATAAACCACTATCTTAATCTATATGAGGTACCATCGAAATGTTTCTCTCCATATAAAGTTCTATTCTCTCTAAGGGGAGGCCTTCCCTCTCATGCCACCTTTCCCATATGGTGACCCATAAAAGGCACACA